ATATATACACTCATAGGAAAGTAGTTGGGAAAATTGAAAAAAAAATTTTAAACTTTATTTATTTATTTATTTAGTTGTTGAAGTTGGACACAATATCTTTATTTTACTTATTTTTTTTTTATGTGGTGCTGAGGATTGAACCCAGCGCCTCACATGTGCTGGGCAAGTAGCTCTACCACTGAGCCACAACCCCAGCCCCTTGAAAAAAATTTTAAGGTAGACATTTATTAATTTTGGGTTTTTTTAGCAGTATAATCAAAACAAATATTGTAACCTCAGGACTAGTTCCTAATAAATTTTGCTTAAATGAGAAATTTTAGAATATTTATTTTTATCTTTGTCATCTGCTATGAACTATTCTTGTTTTCTCGCTGTCAGCAGTTGGGGACTGTGGTGATAGAATTCAATTATGTTCAGATTTTCTTCTAAGTATTTTGTTACATACTTTGTGTTGCTGTTTAGATTAGTGCTTATGTTATCTGGTGCATTCCAGCATACGTATTTCTCTTTCTGTTCTAATCATTTAAGGAAAATCAGGAACTTATTTACTTTGTTCATGTGGAAAATCTTGTGAGGTTTATAGTTCTCTACTGTTATTATGACTTATGGAAGTAATAGAAAGAGTATGGACTTGAAAATCAGAAGACTTAAGATAATATGACACTTTCACATTTATCATTATTTAAAGTATAAAGTGCTTGTTAAAAATTGATGAAAATTTAAACATTATTAAGGTAGAGTCTTTATATTTGTTTTAGAGATATTTGGTAGTTTTGCTAACTAAACCCTTGACTAATAATGCCTTTTGTTTTTAGTTGCCTGTGCCACTGGAGTCTGTAAAAGAGATGCTTAACTCAGTAATGCAGGAACTTGAAGATTATAGTGATGGAGGTCCTCTTTATAAAAATGGTTGTTTGCGAAATGCAGATTCAGAAATAAAACATTCTACACCATCTCCCACAAAATATTCTCTATCACCAAGTAAAAGTTACAAGGTAAGTAGGAAGGAAATGAGTCACTCTATTGGGGAATATGCTGCTTCTTTACTAAATGTTGCAAATACGGTTATGTTGTTTGTTTTTTAGTATTCTCCCAAAACACCTCCTCGATGGGCAGAAGATCAAAACTCTCTATTGAAAATGATCTGCCAACAAGTAGAGGCCATTAAGGTAAATCACTTAATTTTTTTAACTACTTATTCCTATATTCCTTCCCTGACTACTTCCTCACTTTCTAAGGTTGCTCAGAATGTTCCCCTTACCATACTACTATGAAATCATACTATGTTTTACACACCTTTGTCTTGACCCTTACCATATTTGTTGAAATTACTTTTGTCTCTGACCCTTCCATGAAACCTACTTTCTTAAAAAATAGTCTGTCCTCTGATCCTTGACAAAGGTGCCAAAAACCTACATTGGAGAAAAGATAGCCTTTTTAATAAATGGTGCTGGGAAAACTGGTTTTCCATATGTAGAAGAATGAAGCAAGACCCTTATCTCTCACTCTGCAGAAAAATCAACTCAAAATGGATCAAAGACCTCAGAATTATATCAGAAAGTATACAACTCCTGGAAGAAAACATAGGGTCAGCACTTCAGCTTTTAGGCACAGGCAGTGACTTTCTCAGTAGGATCCCTAAATCTTAGGAAATAATGCCTAGAATTAATAAATGGGACATATCAAAAAGCTTCTGCACAGCAAAGGGAACAATTAGGGATAAGAAAAGAGAATCTACAGAATGTGTGAAAATCTTTGCTAGTTACTCTGCTGACAGAGGATTAATATCTATAATATATAAAGGTCTCATGAAACTTTACACATACACATACACACACATAAATCCTTTTAATAAATGAGTAAATGAATTAAACAAAAAGAAATACAGATGGCCAACAAATACATGAAAAAATGTTCAGTATCATTAGCAATTAGGGAAGTTTGAATCAAAACTACACTGTAGGGACAGGGTTGTGGCTTAGTGGTAGAGCGCTTGCCTAACTTATGTGAGGCACTGGGTTTAATCCTTGGCACCACATAAAAATAAACAAATAAAATAAAAGCATTGTGTCCATCTACAGAAAAAAAATGTTAAAAAAAAAAAAAAACTTGATTTTTTTCTTATGCCAGTCAGAATGACTGGCATTAAGAGAGAATGTAGAGAAAAAGGAATACTTTACACTGTTGGTGGGCATGTATACTAATACAACTACTGTGGAAATCAGTGTGGAGGCATGGAACCAACATATGCCTGAGATACACCACTTCTCATTATTTACCCTGAAGAAATTAAAGGCATTTTACTGCAATGATTACATGCATACCCATGTTTATAGCATCACAATTCAAACTATGGAACCAGACCAGATGAGGTGTCCATCAATAGATGAATGGATAAAGAAAATGTGACACACACTGGAGTTTTATTCAGACATAACAAAAATGAAACTGCCATTTGCAGGAAAATGGATGGAACTAGAGGCCATCATGTTATGCTTAATAAGTAAAATTCAGAAAGTCGAGGGTCATAGGTTCTCTCATATGTGGAAGCTAAAGAGGGAAAACGGAAAACAGCGTTGAGGATGGGTCTCCTAAAAATCAAAAGGAGATTAATAGAGGAAAGAGACCCAAGGAGTGGAAGGTAGGGGAATGCTGAGGAGCGATATATTATATTGTTATATTGTGTGCATGTATGAATATAAAACAAATCCCATTAATATGTCCAACTGTAATGTACGAATAAAAAATATGGAAGGAAAAAATCAGAGACTGTTGTTGGATGTGGTGATGCATACCTGTGCTACCCAGGAAATTAAGTTAGTAACTAGAAGTTCAAAGCAGGTCTGGAGAACTTTGTGAGAACCTATCTCAAAATAAAAAGGACTCAGGGGCTGGGGATGTGGCTCAGGCGGTAGTGCGCTTGACTGGCATGCCAGTGGCCCAGGTTCGATCCTCAGCACCACATACAAACAAAGATGTTGTGTCCGCTGAAAACTAAAAAATAAATATTAAGAAAAAATAAAAATAAAAAATAAAAAGGACTCTGGGATATAGCTATCCCCAATACTGCCATAAGCAGAGACTGTTTTATTCAAAACATACCATGATTCCTGGCATGAAGGTTCCTAAATGATCAAATCAAACTACTGAAATATACTAATTATGCTTTGTTCTATGAATTAATTTCTCAAATTGGCCGTGAATGAGGTTTGGGTCAAATTTATAGTTAGGAATTGAAAAGTGGTCTTTAAGCTTCTGAAAGTTTTATTTATTTATTTATTTATTTAAAAATAATTTTTTACTTATACCTGGACACAATGTCTTTATTTATTTATTTATTTATTTTTATGTGGTGCTGAGAATCAAAACCACAGCCTCACATGTATGGGACAAGTGCTGTGTCACTGAGCCACAACCCCAGCCCTGCTTTGGAAAGTTTTTATCTTTAAAAAATTTTTTTTTTTGTACTTGTAGATGGACAGCATACCTTTATTTATTTTTGTATGTGATGCTAAGATCAAACCCAGTGCCTCACACATGCTAGGCAAGTGCTCTGCCACTGAGCCGAAGCCCCAGCCCACAAGTTTTTATCTTTTTAAGTACTTTCATATGAATTTGGCTTTATTATGTAAGGAATTCAATTTTATATCATAGCACTCAAAGAGACTTTAGTTCTTTGGAATTGCGGTTACTAGTAGATTTTTTTTACACTCTCATTGGACAAGAAGCTAGTAGACTCTGCCACTACTTAATAATGATCTTGGGGGGCCTGAGTTTGTGGCTCAGTGGTAGCATGCTCGCCTAGCATGCATGAGGCACTGGGTTCGATCCTCAGCAGCACATGAAAATAAAGACAATAAAGTCCATCAACAACTGGAAAAAAAAAAATGATTTTGGGCCAGTCCCTTATTTTAGTCTGTTCGGCTTCTCATTTGAAAAGTGAAATCAGTTTAAAATCAGGTCCAATCACATTTTCCAATTCATTGAATTTTTAGAACTATGATTATAGCTTGGATTGCAAATTCAAAACTATGGACCAGAGACCATTAGTGTCTAAGTTTTCCAGTCAATTCTACCAGTTTCTGACACTTAAAATCTATCTATCTATCTATCTATCTATCTATATTTTATTTGTTGATAGGACTTTATTTTATTCATTTATTTATATATGGTGCTAAGAATCTAACCCAGTGCCTTACACATGCTAGGCAAGCGCTGTCACTGAGCCATAACCCCAGCCCAGTTTCTTACTCTTGAATGTGCAATATCTCAAATAGGTACATAGATGAATAAATAAGAAAATTGTTATTCAGCTTGAAGTATTTAGATTTAAGTATGTTTGTCCTGGCATTGGTTCCTGCATGATATTGTTAAATGTTTAAAATTACTTGGTTTTTTTTCCTTCCAATAGAAAGAAATGCAGGAGTTGAAACTAAATAGCAGTTTAAATAGAGTTGAAACTAAATATGGCTTTCTGAGAAATTTTTATTTCTGATGCTTCTTTTAGAAGACCACACTACAAATCTAGACAAAGAATTCTAGACAGACGTGCTAGATTTGTTTCTTACCTTGCTTATTGTAACTGATCTGATTCCTGGGCTAAGAGAAGTTTGAAACTTAAAAATTCAACCTGTTTGATACCCCAATATAGTTTTTTTTTTTTTAAAGAAACAATTTCTTGGGCTGGGGATGTGGCTCAAGCGGTAGCGCGCTCGCCTGGCATGCATGCGGCCCAGGTTCGACCCTCAGCACCACATACCAACAAAGATGTTGTGTCCACCGAGAACTAAAAAATAAATATTAAAAAAAATTCTCTCTCTCCTCTCTCACTTTCTCTTTTAAAAAAAAAAAAAAATCTTTAAAAAAAAATAAAGAAACAATTTCTTGATAAATGCCAATTTTATAAAGGGACATTTTGTGGATTCTGGGGTTAGGTAAGTTGTCATCATTTAGTTGTTTATAAAGTAACAAATTGGATAGTTTGCCACATAGCTATATTAGAAAACAATATAACTGCTCTCTTGTCTAGGCAGTAGAGTGGTATTAAAAAACATTTTTTTGATTTAGATCTGGATCAAACTCTAGCTGTGTCATTTCTTGCATCTTTTTCTCACTTTAAGGTATGAGTTATACTGTCCCATCTAAAAGTGTGTTAGCATTAATTCAGAAGTACAGAGCCTGGAACATATATAACTAAGTTCTGGGCAAGTACAATTCTTTTTTGCTGATGGAGCATTTGAGCTTCACCTTGAGAATTACTATTAGTTTGTTATATCATATGACAGTATGTATCAAGAATTGAGTTTTGGTGTTGAGTAGTCCATATAGATCAAAGAATACAGCAGCATGGAAAGGAGACTGTAGCCAGGATGCTTAGGTTGAAACTACTTGAGGACCATGAATGTCAGAGAAAGAAGTTAATTATAGGCCTTGTTTATTTTGAGTCAGGTGTGTCTTGGCTGGGGCTCAACTTTACAAAGATTAATGTAGGCAAGTGTGGAAGGAAAGTGGATATGAGATAATTTAGGTAGTTATTTAGTTTTTTAGGTTAAAGTGAATGAATTAGGTAGGTGGAATTAAGGAGAGAAAGAATGGGAATGGATAAATTTTAACAAATTAAGAATCATGTTTTTGTTGTCCAGATTTCATTAGTATCTCTTAAAAGGTATCATCAGTGTTTTTTAAAATATTTATGTTTTTAGCTATAGGTGGACACGATATCTTTATTTTATTTTTATGTGGTGTTGAGGATTGAACCCGGTGCCTCACGCATGGTAGGTGAGCACTCTACTGTGAGCCACAACCCAGCCCTGGTATCATCAGGTTTTAGATATAAGTATTGTGTTTGTCCTAGCATTGTGTCTTGTATTATATAAAATTACTTCCTTTTTTTCCTTCCAATAGAAAGAAATGCAAGAGTTGAAACTAAATAGCAGTAACTCAGCATCCCCTCATCGGTGGCCCGCAGAGAATTATGGACCAGATCCAGTGCCTGATGGGTATCAAGGATCACAGACTTTTCATGGGGCTCCATTAACAGGTAAGCTGGCAACTGAATAATCTCCAGATTTTAGTAAGATTACCCACTCACCCCCACCCCCTTTTTTTGCACAGTGCTGGGAATTAAAGTGAAGGCCTCTTGCATGTATACTCTGTCTCTGAGCTGTATTCCTAGACTCTTTTTCATTTAAATAGATAAATTATGAAATCAGCTTATCTGTAGTTTGATATACATGTCAGTTATATGATTACTTATAATTACTTAAAAATCTATATTTGATATTACTGAGAATTTATAGCTCGAAGCAAAAAATCAAGCTTTATCTGATTCCATTTCGACGCTTAAAGAACCCTTTAATGTATATCTTAGATGAGCTGAATCTTAGGTGGAATTATTCCTTAAATTGAGAAATGTTAACAGATATAATTATGCACCAAGAGGTATCTAATTAAGAACTTAAACCTCTTGGGAGTATTTTGATAATCTAAAGAGAGGCAGAACATTAATACAGAATTTAATTTGAAATACCATGCACAGAAAAAAAAAGGAATTTGGTTTTTTAGTTGTTCTTTGTCACTTATTAGCTGTGTAAGTAAACCTGGAGATAATACTTGCCTCTATAATTACTATGAGCATTTGTATATGTGCAGGTAGGTATGGGAATTTCTTTGGCATTTATACAATATATAGCAAATACCAAATGAATCAAGATTATTAATTGTACTTAACTGTGATTTGGCTATGTGCAAAAGTGCTTTTTTAAAAATTTTATTTATTTACAATAACTCAGTGGTAGGTACCATTATTAATCCCAACTTTATAGATGAAGAAGTGAGTGTAGAAAGATAGGTAACTTATTTATCAGTTACTGATGGAGCTGTAATCCAGACTATAAGTTATCTGACTCAAAGCAACTTGCCAATATGATACATTGGCTCCAGGCAGCCAGAAATGTGAATAAAAATAGATTTCTTTTACTTGAGACAAATTTCCCAAATGCTGTAGATTGAGCACACCATTCCAAATATCTGAATCTTAAAAACCCCAAAATCTGAAAACTTTTTTTTGCATGCCAGTTTATAAATGAAAATCCTACATCTGACCTCATGTGCAGGTTGCAGTCAGAATATAGTTGCATTAAAAATATTATATAAAATAATTTACAGTGAATGTATGTAAGGTATATATGAAACATGAGTGAATTTCATGTTTAGACTTGGGCTCCATTCCCAAGACATCCCATTAGGTGTATGCAAATATTCTAAAATCTGAAAACACTTCTTTCTAAGCCCAAACATTTTGGATAAGGGATACTCAACCAATAGTAATGCATGTATTTTTTTTTCCCCCTACTTGCTTTTAACCCAGGAATGATTTAGAATAAGCAGATTTAGTTTAGATTATTAGTACATTTGTATGATGGCCCATAGTACGGCAACCCCATTGTATCCTCTTAGGACAGTGTCTTCTAAAGGCAAGCAAATAATGGAAAATCCTGTGAAGGCAAACTTACCAAATGTCGTAGTGAAAGATAAGTATATGAGATGTTTAGACTTTGCTCTCTTAAAATCCTTGTGCATTGTCTAGAGCCTTGTACAGTGAGAATAAAAAGACTGGTTAACCTTTTGTTTTTAAAAGTGTTATGGGCAGTGTCACTTGGTACCTTGTGGGTCACAACTATTTCATGTGTAGGTGTAAAAGGTCTTTTGGTTTTATAAGTATATAAACACAACATTCACGTTGTTTTATTCTTATAATGACCCTATGAAGTGTGAAGTAATACATCCTCATTTTACAGCTGAGGAAGATAAAGACTCAAGTGGCTTATTGACAGGTTCACAAAGTAACTTTGTGGCATGGAAAGGGAGAGAGCCCAGGTCTTCTAATTTCTATTCCTGTGTTCATAGACATTTTTTCCTCAACAAAAGTAAAAATATACCAAGATGGTTCTTGTCTTTCAAAACTAAGATGATAAAAAAAAGATGAATAAGCTTATTAGGAAATATTAAGAAGTGCTGAACAGTGTAAACTAAAAACTACCTTCCTATCAGAATCCTATTATCATTTTGGAGAATTTCTGTTTCTTTGTTTACATAAAGTATGTTTTATGACTGTTGTTATGTCATGTATAGATGAGTTTGCCAGCTTTTTAAATGTTACTTTAAATTTCAAGCATTTTTAAAAAGTATTACTTGAAAATACTACTAATGAGTATGTGGTATCTCCTCATGTAGAAGTATTGCAAATTCTGTTTCTTTATTTGTGTTTCTAGTTTGTGTTATCACAAATAATGCTGTGGACACACTCTAGAATTGTTGGCTGTTTTAAAAATTCAGTTTTTGCTCTTATTAGAAGTATCTCAGATGGGCTGGGGTTGTGGCTCAGTGGTAGAGCGCTTTTCTAGCCCGTGCGAGACCTGGGTTCGATCCTCAGCACCACATAAAAATAAATAAATAAAGGTGTTGTGTCCAACTACAACTAAAAAATAAATATTAAAAAAAGAAGTATCTCAAGAGTGTCCATTTATGCACTCTTGGTAATATTGACTGTTAACAATTTACAGAAACTTTGTTAGTTTGTAAAAGCAAAAATGACATCAGTTTTAAAGTTTTTTTTAAAATGTCATTCTCAACATAATCTCATTTCTTTCTTTCCTGAGTTATCTGTTCATGTAGTGATTTTTTTTTTTTTTTTTTTTGTAGTAGATAATTTTTAGTAGATTATAAGAACTCTGTTTTTCCCACTGAGGTGTAGTGGTCATTGATAAAGTCTCTGTAGTTAAACTGCAGACTTTTAGGATTCTTGGCATATATTTATTACCTTGTTGTATTCCTATTTCCTCCTCCTCAAAATAGGTCCAAAATAACTGCCTTTACCAGGTAGTTCCATTAGGTTTACAGATTCAAACGTGGGCTTCTGAATAGCCCTTTGTAGGTCTTTTTCAGTGCTTTCTGAGAGTCAATTGCTTGGCACCTCTAGAGTCACAATTTCTCTTTCTTCTTTCACAAATAGCCATAAAGGTGTTTTGCTTGTTTGATTTTCTGGTAAAACTGTCAAAACAGATCAAACACAGGAATGTTGTTGTGTATAATATGAGTGCCTTTTAGTTTGGTTTCCTGTAAAACTCACAAAATAGATGGAGCAAATAGTTTGCATATGAACATGAGTGTTTTTAATGTGTTTATTAGTATTTTAAGCAAAGGAACATTTTATATTACTTTTGAGATCCCTTTCATGAATTTGTTAGGTTATTTTAGATCTTAATAGCTTGACTTTATAAAATGCATCCTTGTCATTCTGCAGATTTATGAGGCTTCCTTCAGTATTATAGCCTTTGAAGCCATCAGATGCAATTTGGTTTCTAAGTCCTTGCAGCTGTTGTATTTGCAGTATTTCTATGTTGATCCTGCTATTCCTTTTTGGATACCTATTTGTGGTGCTGAGGATTGAACCCAGGGACTTGTACATAAGCACTCTACCAACTGAGCTATATCCCCAGCCCTTAAGCACTTGTTCTTGTTGATCAAATTCGCGCTATATTCCGCTGCTTATTCTTTGTGTCACTTCTTGGACCCTCCCTCCCCGCCTTTTTGTGGTACTAGGATTGAACTCAGTAGTACTTTACCACTGGACTATATCCCAAATCCTTCTTAAATTTGCTTGCTTGTTTGGTTTTTGAGAAAGGACCTCACTCTTGCTTCAGTCTTCCGAGTTGCTGGGATTATTGGCACAGTATATACCTCACCCTGTTCTAGCAGTTTTTTCCTAGTTTGATAATCTTTATGGTGTATTTTGATATATAGAAATTTAAAAAATCTATCTAGCTAATTCTTTCTTTGGTTTCTATTACTTTTATATTTGTAGTTCTTATTTAGGTAGTCTTAACTGTAGTATAGACTTTAACAGTGTTTTCTTTTTTTTTTT